GACTATGCGAGCAGTAGCCTGTGGGGGAGCAAAACTCCACAGTGTATTGCAGTTAGCAGTGACGATTGTGTTGGGTGTATTGAGATGAATTACAATCTCTGTGCAGGGTTTAGTAGATTTACAGATTATATTATCTGTTTTTAAGAAAACTAATGTTCACAAAATTTCAAGTGGCATAGATGTTTTCTTGGAAGAATCCATGCATTAAAGATAAAACTAATTATGGACATGTATGAATTTTTTTAATAGCAGAGTTGACGTGTGTCCTCCTAGTACAAGCTCGCTGTCAGGTACAATGCAAAATAAAAACAATAATGATCTAATCAAAGTGAAAAGATAATACTCCCAGAATTTGAAATTGTCAAGAAAACTGTTTGAAATGTGCTATTTCAAATAATTATGATCTGCTTATACACTTTTGGTGGAAGTGTAAATTAGGTCAATCATTGTGAAAATCAGTGTGGCAATTCCTCAAAGGGCAAAAAGCAGAACTACCAAGCAATCCAGCAATCCTGTTACTGGGTGTATACTCAAAGGAATATAAATCACTCTATTATAAAGAGACATGCATGCCTATGTTTATTGCTGCACTATTCTCAATAGTAAAAACATGGAATCAACCCAAATGTCCATCAATGATAGACTGGATAAAGAAATTGTGGTACATATACACCATGGAATACTATGCAGCCATAAAAAATAATGAAATCATATATGTTGTGGGAAAATGGACGGAGCTGGAGGCTATTTTCCTTAGCAAATTAATGCAGGAACAGAAAACCAAATACCACATGTTCTCACTTATAAATGAGAGCTAAATGGTAAGAACTTATGAACACAAAGAAGGAAACAATAGACACTGGGGTCTACTTGAGGATGGAGGATGGGAGGAAGAAGAGGAGCAGAAAAGATAACTATTGGGTACTGGACTTAATACCTGTGTGATGAAATAATCTGTACAACAAACCCCCTGCCACGTGTTTACCTGTGTAACAAACCTTCACATGTAGCCCCAAACCTAAAATAAAAGTTAAATAAATTAATTAAATAACTATGTTCTGCTGTTGGGATTTATATTTGTAGGTAGGATGAGAAAACATGGACTAGATGTAAAAACACCAAATTGATGATCATAGTTTTCTTCCCAATATTAAACGATGGCGTTTGCTGACAAGAATGGATTGCTATGAACTGTGACTTGTCAAATTTTCCTCTCATCATTTTTTAAAATTAGGATGTCATAATCATACTTCATACATTAAAGCTTAAGTAATTTTCTTTTTTTAAGTTTTTTGAGTGGTTACTTTAATCTTTTTGTTTTGTTTTGTTTTGCTATTACACTTTAAGTTCTGGGATACACGTGCAGAACATGCAGGTTTGTTACATAGGTATGCATGTGCCATGGTGGCTTGCTGCGCCCATCAACCTGTCATTTAGGTTTTAAGCCCCGCATGTATTAGGTATTTGTCCTGATGCTCTCCCTTCTCCTTGCCCCCCAGAGGCCCTGGTGTGTGATATTTCCCTCCATGTGTCCATGTGTTCCCATTCTTCACCTCCCACTAATGAGTGAGAACATGAGGTGTTTGGTTTTCTGTTCCTGTGTAAGATTTAAGTAATTTTCTCAGTGTCATTCTCCATCTCCACTGTGGCCTAAATTGTGCAGAACCTGCTGTGAGTCTAAATATGAGTTCACATGTGATAGGCAGATGTGATAGGCAGAATAACAGTTCCCTAAAGATTTCCACGTCCTCATCTCTGGAACCTGTGAATAAATCACTGCACATGGCAAAGGAGAATGAATAAAGGTTGCAGATAAAATTGATTGATAATCATGTGACCTTAACACGGAGGGATTGTCCTAAGTTGTCCAGGTGTGTTCAACATCCTTAACAGCAAGACAGGAAGGAGGGGAAGGAAGGACCAGGGAGATGGCAGCCTGAGACAGAATCAGCCGCTGTAGCTAAGGAATGCAGGCATCCTCTTGTGGCTGAAAAAGGCAAGGAAACAGAGTTTGCCAGATCTTCTAGGAGTACAGTCCTGCTGACACCTTGATTTTAGCCTCATAAGGCCCATTTCAGACACCTGACCTTCAGAACTGTAAGATTGGTGTTGTTTTAAGCCACTAAGTTTGCACCAATCTCTTACAGCAGCAGCAGAAGACTAATGCAAGAGAGTTCTTGATTTACACATATGCATGCTTCCGGGTATACACATATACACACATACTCCTAAGGGAGAACCCACCAAGAACTAGAAAGTTGTTTGCTGGCAAATGCCTTCTAACATACAGTTTAGTAATAAAATGTCCCCACATTATGGCATCATCACTATCACAGGCTAACATAAAGAAACAAAATTTGCAACAAATACAGCAAAGGCTTTCCCCCATAAGACCTCAAATAAATTAACGAGAACAAGATCAAGTTAATAAATGGGCAAAGAACTTCTGAGGTCATTCACAAAAGAAAAAACATAAATGACTAATAAAATATGAAAATATGTTAGATGAAAGAGAACTATTGCAAAAATAAATAAATGAAGAGATGCCATTCTGTTTATTTTCTTGGCATGTATTTTTAAGTGGAACTATCCTATGGTATGGAAAAGCAAGCATTGTCAGTCACTGCTGTGGTAGGATAGATGATACAAACTTTCTGAAAACCAATAATATATAAAAAATAGTCATAAAAATATTCAATGGCACTTCTGCAATAATAATTTTACCTCTGGGAATCAGATCATCAAAAATTCAGGAAAAGCATTAATTTTTTCACAATATTATTTATAACTTGAAAACAACTTTCAATAATAGAACATTAATACATAGCAGTATATTTAAATAATACAAATTTACATAGTCATTAATAATTAAGCTTATGGAGAGTATAAACTTGGGTCATACGAGTATAAGTGATATATAGCAACTACAAGAGAGAAAGATTGGAAAGAAATCTATTGTAAAGTTATTAGTGATGGGATTAGGGGCCATTTATTTCTTGTGTATGTAACTGGATTACTGAATGGGTTGGTAGAATACAGTCAAAAGGCAATTTTGTTTGTTCTCTCACTGCCCCTTCAAATACACATTACGGCTTTGTTCCATCTCACCCTTTGGATCATATTTCAAGCAGAATTTATAGCTCTTTTAGCTCCTCAGAGATATTAAATATCTAGTTCAGGTCACTGCAAATTCTCATCCACTTAAAAACTCTCCCGCTCAGCTTGGACCTGATTTCAGCTTGCAGATTTGCAGAGGAGGGAACACAGCACTGCTTCCTCCTCTTCTCACTCCACTTCTCTCACTGTTCCTCTGCGTTATTGTGGGGATGAAGTAGAAGGAGAAATGATGGGAGAAAAGGAGGGAATAAGGTGTTAGCATGACAGGTTCCATTGTAATCTGGCAGGGATACTCTCTGGGTGTGACAGCTCCCACACGCTCATGCTTCTTCTCATGGGGTGCTTTTAGGGGTTCTTCGGAATCCCACCCCGTCCCTCCTTTAAGATCCCTACCTGTTTCTCGGATGATCAGCCTCCCTGGTTTGCCACTTTGCACCCCTACTTGCCTTCTATAGCCAAAGTACCACCATCCTTTTTCTGAGGCCACCTGCCCTTCCAGGAAGTCCTCTGGGATGGCTCCAACTCCAGAACAGCACAGGAAGATCTCTCCAGAGGCCTTATCCCCAGGCTAAGGGCACACACATACATCCTACCCTGACGATTCCACCCAGTCCTGTCTCCACACACTGCTACCAAAAACCCCTCTAGACACAGCCTCTTGCCTTTTGACTCTTCCAAGTGTGAGTTGGTTGCCAAGCCCCCATGTTTCCCAAAGTGTAAGAAATATTAAGCTCCCCAAGTGCTTTCTGAAGCACCCCCTTACTTGGCTTGAGGTGAGAGGAGGTGCCCGCTGGGTGGGAGGAGCCATCAGCACCCTGGCAGATTTCTCTGTAAGTCCTTCTCCTAAGACCTCACCCTAAACTTTTCCCTAAGCTCTCATCCTCTCAGAGCTTCTTGACCTTTGTCTAGACAGTCCAGAGATGGATTACAAGCTTAGGGTCCTAATTCATGTGGGTAGTCAAAAGCCCCAGAAATCTTGTTCTCTGCATTGGAAACTTGAGCCTTTGACACCAGGACTATCAGAAAAAGTTTCTTTTCCCAGGGTTATTTTATAATGGGGGTAAAGGGTGGAAACAAATGTTAACAAAGGCAAGAAGATAAACTACAGCAGCTATTAAGTATCTATTTTTCATGCCTATTGAAATGCTTATAGTAAGTATTTTTAGACTGAACTAGATTCATTGACAATTTTGTCCTCTAGGAATTGCAGTGTCTTTGGCTCCATGGAATAAAAATCGTCCTCTTAGCATCATAAATGCAGAGGTTAAATTCTACACCTGCATTTATTCTCTGAACTACTAGTATCCAAAGTACAAATTATCTCTTCTATTTTATTTTATCACTACTGAATCACCAGCAAGTTAATGTGTTTTCTTGTGGTATGATTAACAAAGCAATTTAGTATCTAAATATGATTTACATTCCCAGAGCATTTTAAATAATTAAGTAGATGATTGGTATTTAATTTATAAGCAACATGTTTTGATTCCTTCTGTAGCTTTTAAAAATAAAATAGTTATAGTTAATGAGTGCTAGTACAAAATGCTCAATCATCAGAAAAAAATCAAAAGTTTAAAATGGATTTCTTAATAATCTTTGCCGATTATAAAATACAAGAACTGTAAGTCCCAAATCAAAATCTAAGTGAAATGTCTAGAAATTGGTTTTTCCTCCCATTTCTGTGTACTTTTTAGAAAGCTATTGAGGTTACATAGAAATGAAAAGGCTCTTTTAAAATCACAGCTATTATTTTAAAAGAGTGTTTTCTACTGCAAATTCTTAAAAGTTGCTCATAAATTTTTATCTTTATTAGATTATATTGGCTCTTTAAGTATGGAAACTTGGCATAGATTCTTAAGGTACACATGTTTTCCCTTTTGCAGTTGGTGGGTTTTGTGTATGCCTGTTATGTGATCAGTATTTCCATGGAAGAAGAAGACACATGTAAGTACTGTTTTCTCTCTCCCTGTGGGTTCCTTTTGAATGAGATACAGCTTCCAAAACTAATCATTACAGGGTTATGAACTCTTTTATATTTGGAGTCTAAAATGATTGAACTCAGCATATTAAAGTTACAGTCAAAAGTTGACAGACTGAATTGCACACAAATAAGGTGACGCTACATATTGAAACTCTCAATTTGTGAGAGCACGTGCAGAGACTCAGAAGGCCAAGGACTGCTGTCATATAGCTTAGCAACTTTTCATCAGACATCTAACCATTATGCTGAGTAGACAATCAACGGTTGTTTTATCTATTAACAATTTTAGGCATGTTGGTGGCAGAATTTTGAAGTCTGAGTAACAGTAATGATGTCAATACAATAATACATTACAGAAAGATCTATATGTATATAAACTCTATAAAATGCAATGAAAAACAACTAAAATTTACAACCTTCCAGGTGAGATGAAAAAAAAAAAAAATTACGAGGTGCTAAAAAAAAAAGTTAATGGGATACTTAAAAGCTAAATCACGTTTTAGCAGAACACCCAAAGGAAAAACATTTATTAATATTATGACCTGTAGTTATATAATAGAGCTTTAGCAGCATAGGTCAACAAACGGCCTTCGTTGAGCACTTGCTGATGTATAAGACACTTCTTGGCACAACTCTGTTAGGGGCTCACATTTTAATTTACTTTCAAAAAAAAAAAGGTTTTTTTTGAGACAGAGTCTCCCTCTGTCACCGAGGCTGGAGTTCAGGGGCGCGATCTGCGCTCACTGTAAGCTCCGCCTCCCAGGTTCACGCCATTCTCCCGCTTCAGCCTCCCCAGTAGCTGGGACTACAGGCGCCCGCCACCACACCTGGCTAATTTTTTTATATTTTTAGTAGAGACGGGGTTTCACCGTGTTAGCCAGGATGGTCTCGATCTCCTGACCACGTGATCCACCCGCCTCAGCCTCCCAAAGTGCTGGGATTACAGACGTGAGCCACCGTGCCCAGCCTACTTCCAAAATTTTAATTTACTTTCAAAAGTTTAATTTAACTTTCAAAAAATAAATTATTTTAGATAAAGAAATCACACCAAACCAAACCAGAGATTGCATTGCAGTCATTGTTTGAATTTGTAACAAAATGAAGCAAAGTAGCTAGCCATTATAACTTCCGTCCAGAACACAACCTCAAAGGGGTCTGATGAATGCTTCCCATCAAACAGATGGGTGGTGCATGATATATGAGTTGGAATCCAGAATCTAATGGGGTCTTGTCTCAATTTATTTGACCAAACCTCAGACCCTGAGATTAAAAGTGTCAGGCAGTGAAAACATGCAGACAAATTGCATCATGTGTTTAATGCTTACTCAGGATTTTTTGTTTGTTTGTTTGTTTGTTTAATGCTAGACAACACAAAAAATTTCTGTCACTTGAAAAGTGCAGTTCAATGACAACACTTTTCATTTTGAGATTAACTTCAAAATCTCTATTTTTAGTTTTATTAGTAGTTCTACAACCTGATGAAGTTAATATACAGAAGGTTAGCAGCATGCTTCCAACCTACAGCTACAACAGGCTACACAGCCAAAAACAGTTGGTTGAGCATGAGCAACAGTAACTGGAATTTCAACCTGAAAGTTATTGGAATTTGAGCTGAATAAGTCAAAAAATTGATAAGTCCCAGTTGAATCTCTTATAAAGTAGATACCTACTTTTGAGTAGTTATAAGACAACAACAACAACCAAAACAAACAGTCCTCTTTCTTTTCCTCCTCACTGAACTGTTTGAAGACTCTCAAAAGACACCAGTGCTCAGTTGTACTTAACAGTGGGAGAAAAGGCAAATTAATCAATAGTCTTATCATCTAGTGCAGTAAATATACAAAAGTCTTTTCCTTGAGACTTGTGGTTTGAGTAAAGCTGGGAAATGCAAAATGGTATGCAAAATAAAAGACTCATCTAAATGGATACTTTTGTTAACCTTCTATTAGCCTTCTTTTCAGTGTATATAAATTGTATTGTTCACTGACAGATATTGTCGTTCCATTGACTTTGACGTATTTAATTAGCTTAAGTTTCTCTATAGAAATCTCTGAATCAGCTATTTCAATGCCCTTCAAACTGGGATTGAAGCAGCTGCTAGGAGACTATTCTATTAGTGGTTTAATTCTAGTGTTTGTTATGAGGGCCATACATTACATTACTGAGAGACATCTGGATATAGTACTTGTGTTGTCATCAATTCAAATTAACTCAGAGTCAAAACGAAACTTGGGTGCTCAAAGCAAAGTATATATGCCCAAGACTAACTTAACATGATAATCTGCTGGAAGAGAGATGACAATGGAAAGCAGTCACAAACATTTGAGTCTGATAGTTCTCAACTGTGGGTAATTTTATGTTTTTTATTGAAAGAGGTAGGAAACAAAAGTGCAGATGTAATTAAGTTGTCCCAGGGTCTTCAGAAGGCAGATGTGAGCAAAATGTAATGTCTGAAACCAATTGCAACGATCTCATACACTAGTACTATTTGTGCCAACACTTAGCTTTTAGGTGCAATAATGAACTGCCCCTTGGATATGACATTACCAACCCTCTGTCAGGAAGACATGTCTTTTGAATTATTTTTCCAAAACTTACATATAAAATAAGTAAACAATACTAGTATCTTTCCAATTTGTCTAAGTACACTTCTGGAAAGCTTATTCTAAAAGAGAACTGCAAATATACTATAATGTCAGTTTTTTGGCAGGCAATACATCATTCATAATTTTGATTCTATTCTAACTAATGAAAATTTCTGCATTATTCAAAATGCAAAGTTAAGCCTTGTTCTTGGACTGAAAGCTGCCAGCCAGCCTTAAAAATTAATAACAGCTACCACTTCCCTCCTCCGCACTGTTAAAGTGGATATATGGGACTAACATTTCAGACAGATATTTCTGAAGGGTAATAAATACTTGAGGAAACATTTATTTCTAGCCACCCGTCTTCTTGGTTACCTCTCAGCCTCTTTTATTAACTATTTCTTATAAAGATTATGATTGCAGGTCAAAGACAATGAAATAAAAAGCTCTCAAAAGGCAGAGTGCTAGGTGGGGTCAGCGCTTTTCATCATTCATTCTAATGAAAAAGCCTAGTTATAACTGTTCCTTCCATTTTTCATTTCTTTTAAATATATATAAGTATATATCAATCTCCATGAACACTTTCATGAGACTAGAATCTCTGGAATCAAAATGATAAAAATCTGTCAACACCTTGTTTGGGAATCATTTGCTGAAAATGAACTTGTGGATTTGTTATTACCTTGTTAGACTTTCTAGAAAGAATGTTTATAATTCAGAGAAGTGTGAAGATAAGGCGAAAGATGCTGAAAAATAGCATTTTACTTGTGTAAGTACTGCCAGACTTTTTCAGAGTTTCTGTTGCTTGCACTACTCCTTGTGATATTAGGCTTCAAATTGCAACTGGCAGATTTATTTGGGCTCACAAAGACTAGTCTGGGTTGTATATGCTGAATGATGAGAAAGAAAAGTATACTGAAAACCCTAATAGTTTTTGAAAGGAAATGAACCCCTCAGATGTGGGTTCAATATTTTACATTACAAAGCTCTAAATAGTTCTTTATATAAACATTTGACCCTTGCTATTATACTTTTGAGGAACTTTTTATTGGAAGGAAGCATAACTATCAGAAAAACATTTCATTGCTCTACTGTCCTTGAAGCTTCCTGCTGGCTAATGTTCATGTATTTACCTGTCTGCCCATGAACTCCTTCTAAGAAAATGAGGTGATATTTCCATAGCAATGGTGTGAGCTGAAAATTGTTTAAAATCCCATCTCTGCCTAAGAATTTATGGAAGAAACGAATGGTAGGGAAAAAAAAAAAAAAAGACTAGTTTGAATGTTAATTTATGAATTTCCTTTCCCCAACTTATAATGTATGGAAGCCTCAGAGAAGTAAAGTGACTACAAGGCCAGACACCAGGGGAGGGAATAAGCAGAGTCCTGGAAGATCTTCAGAGTAGAAAACCAGTCCAGTGTTTTGCACTCCTAGCAATGTATGGATATTTGAAGGTGAGAGGAGAGGAGAATGTTGTGAGTCAAAGACGGAGAAATGTGCAAGACTAGGTAAGGATGGTCCTGAAGTCACAGTGAACATTTCAAAGGAGTCACCATTGTTTGCCTAATAAGCCATTAAGAGTCTACTGATTCTCAGAGTGCATGATTTTCTTTTTTGGTAACTATCTAGTTGGTTGCATGTAACTGTCCTAAAGGCTGTTTCTCTCTCCATTAGCCTCACTAGAGCTCAGACTTAGATCCTGAAACATTTTCCTAATTTGCTGAGATGGCTCTGCCAAATATCTACACAATGACTAGCTAATTCTCCCACTAACACAGATCTGTGAGGGTGAAATCTTTGTTTTGCTCCCCATTGTAACCCAATAACTCAGAAAAATGCCTTGCATGTAGAATTCAATAAAGAAGTATTTGTTGGCTGGGTGTGGTGGCTCAACCCTATAATCCCAGCACTTTGCAAGGCCGAAGCGGGCAAATCACTGGAGCTCAGAACTCAAGGGCAGCCTGGGCAATACGGTGAGACCTCGTCTCTACCAAAAATACAAAAACATAGTCGGTGTGGTGGTATGCACCTGTGGTCACAGCTACTCAGGAGGCCGAGGTGGGAGGATCACTTGAGCTTGGGGTCAGAAGTGGGGTTGGTGGGATGGCGGTTCCAGGTTTCAGTGAGCTGAGATCCTGCCACTGCACTCCAGCCTGGGTGACAGAGACGCTCACAGGGTAAGGCAGGCATTTAGGAGTCAACTCATCTGCAACATGTGGTGAAGGGGACAGAGTTACTGTCAAAGAGTGGGGACCAGCAGGGTTGTAACCTCAGCCACCCCACACACGGGAAGTTCAGGTAGCCCAGAACGGGATCCCAGCTACAGTGCTCTGGTTGAGTGACAAGATTCTATCCCTTAAATAGGTTATTGAGACACA